TTGCTAACAACTGTACTGCTTGATACTGTAATAAGTTTCTCGCCATTTGAAAAAAGCAACTGACATTGAGTATAATGAAAAAAGGACATAACAAATTAATAGCCTACAAATAAAGACAGACGATTAAGTATAGTTAATGACAGGCCTAATATACAAACAGTGGCAGTGATGAGTCATGAGTGGAAGACGAAGTGAGGAGGTTTCAGATATTTTCCAATTAGTGTCTGTTACTAGCGCACCCAACAAAACAAAAAAAACTCTTGCGCCCCTGGACCAGGGCCCATTTTTAACCGCGGTACTGGGTAAGTTAAAACTTTCATCCCTAGATCTTAGAAAGACAGCTGTGATGTCATAGGCATATTTGATATACATTTTGATAGTGTTGTTACCCTTCAAAGTGCCATCTATAAATAAATCGTACCCTAGGCTATTATGTGCCAAGCCTTGATAAAAATTACTAAACGTAGGTAGCTGCGATGTTGTTTCATAAGTTAGACCTAAGTTAATCGTAAACAAAAAAAAAACATACCGGTAGCTAAACCTAACCTAGCCATAACCTACTGATCGCAAACGCGGCACCTTAAGTTATTTGTTTGACATTTCCTTTCGATAGTTTGGAAGGACGTAGGCCTAATTATAAAGCTGCAGCCTTCTGGGGTTACAGTTCCGCAGAGAACCTGCGATCTTATTAAGTTATCAGATCAATAACAATTTATCAATATTTTTATAAATATTAACATAGGCCTAGGCCTAAGTTTAGGCCTAGTTAACTTTAATATTGCATTGACTTTAATTTTCCCAGTTAGCTTATACATTAAGTTATAGGCCTAAGAGGCTAACTTTATGTTTTCTTTTGTTGCTTTTTCATTAAATAGGTTAGGCTATATTTGGCTAGTAAGTTACCGTCTCAGGCTATATTTTGTTTGTGGTTAAATATGCTTATAGGCTAGTTAATATCGATAGAAACGTAGGCAAAACAAATCATAGGTCAATTTGATATTTACATTGGGAAGAAGAATAAACATTTAATTTAACTTACCAAAGATATTTATCATTAAGTCATACATCTGTTCACAGATCACAGGTTCTCTTCGGAACTGTAAGTTAAGTTACCCCCTTCTGGTCTTAAAATATTCATCTGCCTACAAGACTAGGCCTGAATTTTAACATAACCTTACCAATTAACATCATTTTTAGTCTTAACTGTAAGTTAGGCCTAGGCTAACTTATGACAGGTTCTAAGTAACTTAGGCATAAGTTTAGCTACGGTATTTGTTAAGTAGACCTAGGCCTAGCTTGTCTCCAAGCTAAATTAGTTCAGACCAAGGACATATTGCAATGAATTAGGTCTAGGTTATCTCCTGAAGTTGGCTTCCTTAGTTTTGTAAACTACAGCCTAATTTTTCCCTAAAGAGCCTCCATCCGTAGAGTTTTTAAGGGGTTAGGAAGGCTATTGTAACCTATTTCCACTTATAAAGTATTTAAATTAGATTACCACCATTCGAGTTATTAACAAAACATATGCTAAATCTCTTAATAACTTACAATAACGATAATAATTTGTGTAACTTACCTTAACTCAAGTTGGTCGAATCGCCACTGAAGTTAAAAAGTCGAAGATGTAGTAACGCAAATCTTAAAGAATATAAAGTAAAAAGTAACTAATAGACCTATTTAATAAGTAAATAATAACAAAACAACGAATTCTTCACGTGTAACACTGAAAATCAGAAGTAGATGCTCTAGTCTAAACACAGCCACAAGGACAAGACAACGTTTGTTGTGAGTTGTGAGACAAAGACAAGACAAACAATATGGCGGTGGCGGATCGGATCGGATGCTGACCCCCGCTGTTTTGCTCCCATAATGCATCAGCGAACATCGTCGAACCTAAGAAAACGCAGAGACTCGGGTATCTCGCGCGGCAGAATATTTTGTTCATCATCTATGAATATTATAGTATAGTATGTGTTACAAATACATTTTACACAGGATGTTGAAAAAATGCAGGGAAATAAATACAACACTACAATTTTTTTCGTATTTTTCTATTGATATAAAATACATATATTATCTGTATCATCAATACCTTTACTTATTTTACTGCATTCTCGAAAGTTAATTTATGCCCTCAAAACAACATTTAGGTGAAAATTTACACTTTGTTTCTTCATTTTACAGTATTTTATGCAAAATTTATTTTGGATGAAACCGTATTTTCATATTGGTATATAATATGTATATTATCTGTATCATTAATACATATACGTTGGTTATACCTTAATCCCGAATATTTACGTATTATATACATTGCTTGCTACATGGGATGTTATGACTTAGCCTATTGTACAATATGTTTTTAATGGCCAAATAAAATTATTGGTTGATTGATTAAGGCTGCACTTGGCGCAGGACTGCACTGGACCAGTTATTCCCATCGATGTATAAAACTAACATGTGAGTTTGTTGTATAAAACTCAATGTTAGTTTTATACATCGATGGTTATACCAACCCAAAGTCTATTTGACCACTCTCCTTACCTTAATTTTGTTAAATGAAATTGGAAGAACCTTTTCTTCAAGCTAGGAAAAAGTTATATATTTGTCCGTGAACGCGATACCTCGAGTAATTTTGTCCGGTTTTGATGAAAAAATTTGGTTTAAAGGTGTGAGGCCAGATAAACTTGAATAGTTCGTAAGCCAGCATGATCGGACCATGGGAACGGGGTTTTCCGGGGGGGGGGGGGGGGGTTTATGGGGTAAAAAATAGTATTTTTCTAATTTTTGACCCTCAAAACACAATATTTCCTGATTTCTCTTTAGACCTTTTTAAAGAGCTTAAGAAAACAAATCGTTTAGTATATCAGAGTGTTTTTGTACGGTTATTGGTAACGTACATTATTTAAATAAAATCAAAATACTGTAAATTTAAAATTACATTGTTATTCTTATGGAGAATATTGTAAAATAATGTAGTTTGCTTGTTTATGGATTTTTACCAAACTGGGAAAATTTATTTATTTTATACTTTAGCTATTACTATTTTACTAAAAACCACACTTTATTAGCTTCCTTGTAGCAGCAAACCTAGCTACTCGTTAAACCTAATGATATTTAAATAGATTTAATTGAAAATTAATTCAGACAAATGTAAATTCGCTTAGTTCATTTGCTGCGGTGGGGGTATTCCTCTCCTGATAGTAAACGTCCACATTGAACGTTAAATAATTGTACGGCTTTTCATTGAAGAAGGTATCTTTTATAGAGAAAGTTATCTTTGCCTAGGAGATATATCTTTAATTGACAGGTGAACTTTTTTCTTGGGCCAATCCCCAGGTATAAAAATAGTACGTAACTATACCATATTGGTTGAATCAAATACAGACGTTTAGATCAGAAGACAGAAGTTCAATACCCTAACCACTCAACCAGCCATTAATGATCAGCCAGCCAGTAACTTATGGTTTATGCATGCTTGTTATTGTTTCAAAAACAGAAGCAATTGATATTTTATTTTGAAATCATAATAACTTAAACGAAATCATCTTATAAAATTATATAAATATATACTAACGAGAATGAGACTTAGACTATTTCTATGCCTTATCAATCTTTCAACAATCAAGTTGTGGCAAAGTACACATAAAAAATATTTATCATTTATTTCAAAGATCCATAAATTAAGGTCTCCTGCCATCCCATCGCATGCCATTCGAGCTATTCCAAATCTGAGACCAAAGTCGTTCTTACTTATCGAATAGACAATTTCAACCTCTGTAGGACAATAAGAATTGTCGTGGTATTAAAAAAACCATGTGAAAGAAAATTGATGCTACCCACCTAGCATATCTCGTTCTGTGTTAAGGTTTCAGGTTTCTGTTGGAAGGGTGTCGATCACTGATTATTACTGTTTCCAGTTGACAGATCTGAATGCAGGAAAGTTGTTTAGCTTTAAAAATGTGCAGTGGTTTGGGGAGTGGGTAGAAGCCTATGTACATTGGCACGTAGCAGCTGGCAGTTCTTCAGTGGGTGTTCTTCAGTTTTCATCGAGGAAGTGATTTAATTAGAGAAAACTTTGCTTGCAGATCAGTATGTTCCAAAACTCCAGGGCTGATCGCAGTCCTTGATAGTCTTAGAGACGTCCCTATTATTTTGATGATCTCTCTTGTTCAGTCACACCACTACCTACATGCGAAATTACCAAACTAACACTGCTTCAAATGAGACTGATGAAAAACATCAGTCAGCTTAGACAATGAAAAACATTGTGAAAAAGTTTAAAATCACCTTCAAACTGCCTCTATTCCTTGCACAATTTTTCACATCCAATCATTTTAATCCATATCCATCAACTGGCAAATGGACTTTAATAGTTGTTGACGGTTGAGACCACAAAAATCTCATTAAAACGTGGTTTACACTTGGCAGGAGCGTCAATTTTCTATCACAACTTTCTTTGAATACTAATAACAAGACTAATCGTCCCATACCTGCTAGAATAGTAGCGGATAATGTATGGAACATGACTTCGGTCTCAGATTTGAAAGCTCACATATCTACAATAACAACTCAATGGAGACCTCAATTTACTGACAACCCCCCTGGATTTAAATTTTTTGTAGGAGAGAGCTAATAAAGCATCTCAATCCCTCTGTTTGAAGATTCATACCGCTACTACAAGTATTAATATTTTTTACAGCTATAAACAATCCTGAATATACCAACCTAATCACGGATATAACTTTTTGCCACAACACTAGAATATTACCGTACCTCTATCACATGTGTTACAAAAAATAAAAGTAAGGATGTGAATTAACTCTTCTGGTGTGCAACTCCTGTATTACAGAATTTAGGATCTAATTATTTATAATAGCAACAGTGAATTTTGTTTTAAATAATACACTTTTTGCTTGGGCACTTACTGTAAACATTCATTGAAAGTAGGTGTTTTTAAACTAGCCAATATATGTTTTTGATAAGACAAGATAACAAGAACAAATGGTTTAAGCGAATTTTATTTCAAGAAACAAGTAGAAACATTTTGAACTCAATAGATTTTTTGGCAAATTCATAGTTTTGTCATTATACAGATTCATCATGTCTGTTCTTTAATTTAAAATTAAAGCACTTTTATCTTTGAGACAACAATGACTTATATATAATCTTAAGGCTAAAATATAGGACGTATGGTAGGATAGCTTAACTGGAAAAACATTCAAAACTACTTATCTAGTAATATGAAAATATAAAAAGTCTTTAGAATACATGTAAATGTACATGTAAATAGTTGAGATTAGGAGAGAAGGCCAGATTACTGAACTGCTTTGTAGACTCTTGTACAAGTTATGTCATCGACAGTCAGGAGCTGAAACAAATCAAATTTGGTTGAATCACAATGTTTCCAATGTAACTTTAATAACAAGTTAAGTAGCAGGTACAACTACTGTTTGAACAACAATTTCAACAATTTAAAGTTTTTGTTAGGTACTTAAGTAACAATTTGCTGCTAAAATGTTTAGTAGGAGTCCGCCCCAACTAGGGACTATTGACTATTTTGTTTGAATATTGAGCAAGAAAATAATATCCATGTGTCAGAAATTTGTATCTGCTTTTTGAAGGCTCTTAGAAGGGAAACACCTCCTTGTACTTCTAAATAAAGGCTCGTTAATAAAGATCTACAACCCGTTACCAAAGTGTAAAAGGTTAAAATTACTATAAATCATTTTGCATCTCACTGATTAGACTGCTGAAACACAAAAAAATAGTAAAATTATAATAAGTATAATAAGAAGAAAATCAAAAAGATACAACAAGAAACCACCAAAAACAAAGGGAAACATAACACAATCTGGATCAGGTTTACCAATGCAGTGACAGCTACAGGTCAAGAAAATATTACTTAACTAACCAATCAAGTTTTTAAGACAGCAGCTTAATATAAAGCAAACGTAATATTGATGGCGGAGTGAAAATTGAATGAACTGAGATGACCCATATTTTACTTCATTGCTAACTAAGATCAGTGGTTTCTTTGGCCGGGACAATCATCAAGGAAAAATTCTCCAGTTTAAAACTATCAAAAAATGTTACTGAGTGTCTTTAGGGAATATCCAGAATGAGAGTGACTCTCAGCTATTTAACTTTAATCACTTATCAAACCATCTTTGATTTAGTTTATTTTATGACCCATGACTATTTCTTTATAGCAATTTAGCAATCTCTTGAGGGACTAATAATAAGAAGCTACAACTTTCCTAAATGATAGTAGGTAGGTATTTTTAAGTAGGTCAATGTGACACAAATTTCAATGTGTGGTGTGAATTAAAAATAGAGCAGTTGTTAAAATAATGGATACCTGCCTTTCACAGGCTTTCGATTTTTTCCTTTAAAATTTGATATATTTTAAATTTGAATGAAGTAAAATCAGTCATAAACAATTTTTGTCTGACTTTCTGTTTGACTGCCACACACTCTTGTGGATATATTTTTGTGTTTCACTTTCACGTATAAAACAGCTTTAGTGTGTGAAATAGTTACCAGTAGATATGATTAAGTGATAACTTAAGAAGATCACTGAAGATGCCACACAATAAGCTGGTCAAATGCATAGGGTGACACAAACATCTTACCTACTCAAGAACTACAAGTTATAAGATCAAAGGTAATGTAGCTAATAAAATTCAAGTTCTAGAAACTGGGATGGAAAATAAAATAGTTATTGTTTTCCACAAAAATTAATTTCCAATAATTTATGAAAAGTCTTAAGACAAACACTAGCTATAATGAAAGAATGGAGGTCACAGAACAAAAGAAAGAAAGTGATTAAAGGGGTTGGGAAGGGATGATGTTGAATTCTGGAGGGAAGACTTCTTGCTTACTTTGGTTAAGTGCTACACTGACTTTTCAAACAAATCTGAAAGCAGCTTCTTAAAAGTGATTCTAAATTACTGGAATTTAGTTATTTATGTGTAGCTTATTTCACAGCTAAAAGATACCATTAGTAAAAATATAGTTATAAAATTGTTTTAAATTTACTGAAAATGTACCCAACAAGTGTTAAGCAATGCCTGTTATGTCATGCTTCATGTATGGTGTGCTTACTACAAAATGGCAGAATTTCTGCGGGTTTACTGTTACTCTGAGATTGGTTATTTGACAGCTGGGTATTTTCTCTGTAATCCGTAATTGTCCAGCAATGCTTCAAGCACACGATGGCTGTAATGAAAATTTGGTATTTCCACGTTTTAAGAGTAAACAATTGAAAAAACTTATTTTTGAAAAAAATCTAACTCATAACCTAATTCACAAAAGGGGAAGGGGGGGGCTCCTATCACCCGATTTTGCTGGTTTGTGAACTCAATCAAGATTATCCAGTTCTAAACATTCATGCCAAATTTCATCAAAATCAGACCAAAATGGCTTGAGTTCAAGTACACACACAAACAGGGTGTTGAAAAAGTCTTAACACTCCCAACAAAAATTAAACGGCGTAAGATAAAACTTCAACATATTACTATACGATGACTTTTCTAGCTTTTTGCAAGAAATCAAAAGTTTGCCCCCCTCCCCCTATAAGGGTAGAAAGGGGGCAAATAAACATTTTCAAATGTAAAGACCCATGTTGTGACCCCTCATTTTAAAGGTCTTAATTAGTAGAATACAATGCCGCAAATGTGAACTCAAACGGATAACCGAGTCGACAATGGCAGCCGTTCAAAGGTTTTATGTTCAATCATGTCCATTTTATGTTATGTTCAATGTTTTATGTTTTATGTTCAAATTTAACTTTAATTTGATGTGCATATTGACCTATCCATACGTTTATGATTTTCCTCCCACTTCTAGCGGTCCATCCCTCTAGCCCTGGGTCCATCCCCCTGAGGACGTACCGCATACCGGTAATTGAAATATGTGTTGAAATCATAAACGTATGGATAGGTCAATATGCGCATAAAATTAAAGGTCTTAATTAGAAGAATACAATGCCACAAACTTGAGCTCAAAAGAACAACTGAGTAAAAAATGAGAGCTGTTAAAATATTCAAAATGGAATATTCAAGATTTCTTTAAACGGCTGCCATATTGAAAGCGGTTATCGTTTGAGTTCAAATTTGTGGCATTGTATTCTACTAATTAAGACCTTTAAAATGAGGGGTCACAACATGGGTCTTTATATTTGAAAATGTTTAGTTACACCCTATCTACCCATAAAGGGGGAGAGGGCCAAACTTTTGATTTCTTGCAAAAAGCTAGAAAAGTCATCATATAAATATATCATATATATATTATATGTTTGAAGTTGCAAAATTTTATCTTACACCGTTTAATTTATTTTTGGGTGTGTTAAGACTTTTCCAACTGTATATATTTAGACACTGTATATAAAAATAGGTGTTTAATCCTCTGGGGACCTCAAAATGAAAAAGTTAGTGGGTCTAATGTTTACGTCTTTCCATGCCATCCATGGTAATAGCTTCTTCCCTATAGGGAAATTCGCTAAAATAAACCATTAAATTGCAATCATTTAGACATATCTCACCTCCTACACTGAAATCCAAATGTTGTCCTACAAACAATCATGTTTGCTGAACACCTGTCATTAGTTAACCAACCTTGATTGAAAATGTTGACCTGTGCTTGTTTCCAGGGTGACAAATGCTTGTTTTCAGTACTAAAATTAATATCAATGAATAGGATCTATTTTATATTTCTTACAAATAAGTTCAGTATTATTTCTTATTCCTATTTAAGATGAATTTTACCCCTTTTAATACAATTTGTATCCACCTAGGTAAAATTTTTTAAGTAAAAAGGGTTTGTTGAGATTATCAAAGTTTAAAAACGTTTGATAACTAAGATATTGAAGTAAATGTTACACTAGTTGTTGCAACTCAAGTAAATGTTACACTAGTGATTGCAACTGGCAACATTACTGTTGTTATTTAAGGTCAAAACATCATACACTATAATTTACTATCTAAGAAGATAAGATATTACCCTTGATATTAGAATAGTGTTATTTAGGTAAATTTCCAGTCCTTTAGATTCTTCTCAATTGTATTACAATAATTTTGTGACCCAAGGTAGTCCCAAAATGTTAAAAAATATGTTACACTAAAAAATATTCAAAACCTTTTACGAATCTTAATTTTTATAGAAGGAACTAGCTCATTATTTTATGATTTTCCATACAAGAAAACAGGAAAACGAAGAACCGGCCACCTCTGGCCCTAATCCGCATATAGAAGTTTGGTTAGGTTGGTTAGGTTATGTTAAGTTGGGTTATGTAAATTAATATAGCCCCTGAATTTACGACCAGTGGCCAGGACCCCTACACTCAAGAAAATGAATTATAAGCTTATAATGTTTCAAATTCTTGTTGACATTTTTCATCATTTTATGCTATTAAAAATCAATCTCAAATCAAAAAAAGTCATATCTTTCAATAGTTTTTTCATAATAATAATTAGTTTTGGTTTTTACTAACAGTTATTTTAGATAAATTGTGTGGGTGTTATCTGAATTAAAATCATTAAAACTCTGAGTGATAAGGGCAAAGCTCAAACCCCTCTACATGAAGGGCCCATGGATGGATCACTACAATAATACAATCACGAGATAGCCCCTTTAATTGAAGTCAATAGAGTCTATTAAGCCAATTCATTTAAGCAAGAATTCTATTATATCCTCATCAAAGGATTGCTGCTTCCCTTAGACACACTTGAGCCCAGGACATTAAGTTGTGGATTGCATGAATTCACGAATAAATAAACAAATGTATAAAGGCCTGTATGTGTTTTTCTTTATTTTAATCATGAAAATTTTTTCTGTATGTCTTTGTACGAAGTAAAAATAGGTACTTTTCTCAAAATTAAAGATTTTGATGTTTTGTTTAGTTTTATGGTTCAATTTAGCTCTAAATAAATTATTTATAAAAATTAGGTGCCTACATTAATTAAATTACAACTTTGTCACAGTTCACTTCGGGCTTCAACTGTTTAATACGTGTTTTCATGAGGGAAGTGTGGGATCAAAACAATGTGCAATCGGGTCCTAGAAAGATGCAGACATATTTTTTTTATAAAAACAAATGCGTCCGGGGGGACACTCTGTGGTGTCACAAACAGAGAGTTAATAATAGAACGATATTCTTATCCTCCATTGTGTATCAGTTGTTAAATAAACACATGGTTAGTCGGTGGATCATTCGGTAGCGTCACGGACTTCGGGCCCAAGGCAGCGATGCCGTGGGTTCGGATTTTGGTCACTGCCACTACTTTTTATCAGTCACTTCGCCCTTGTACTGTACCGGCTCAGCCCTTGCTGTGCTGGATACGTTCCACACACAGATCCATAGTCTATGTGGACGGGCAAATACAAGGTTAAAAGAGGCCGCCAACCTCTTTAAAAAGAATATTATCATTATAGCTAAAGGTCAATCACACAGGGTATGATTTTACCTATACAACTTACAAACTAGACTTGTATGATCTATTTAGGTTTCAATCTTGCCAGAAATTCTTAGCCAGAAGTATATTGTCAAGAATTTCTGGCAATCTGAATAATAATTAAAATTCAATTGAGAATATTTTATTCAATATAACAGTCTACTCTAGATAATGTTGTGTGCTAAAATGAAAAGGCTAATCGAGCCAAATTTATCTTATGTAATTTCAACCTTTAACTGTTAGAAATGAGTATATTGCATGAACAGTACTCATAGAGTTAGGGCAAATATTTTCATAGGTAATGATAATTAAGTCTTCTTTTGGAAATATTTCTTTCTTTTATATTCGTAAAAATGTAAAAATATAACCTAATGATACTTCTTTAATTAAGAATGTTTTAGAATAAAATTATATTGTGTCATTTTCCTTTATTACTTATATTTCAGGCAGTCAAATATTTATGTCTTAATTTTTAAAAGTATAGTTACCTATATTAATTTATGACAGGTAACGCTACAGGTATTATTAGGAGTGACGGTTTCAGTAACGGCCTGATAAGATTGAACTCTAAGTTTATATTTAAGTTGTTGTGTACGCTGATAACAAATACTGGATAAAGTGGCCAGTCAATTTCCAAGTTGTTTTATGTTTTGTTAAATGTTTGTTTTTAAGGAAATAAATTCATTATTATAAAATTTTTTTTTTAATTAATTGTTTCTGAGGGAGCATTTCACAAGATCAGAAGATGAAAAGTACAGTCATTACTAGTAGTAAAATTTTACATCATGAAGTAAACTTATGAGAGAGACTGTCCTTTGGACTTTGGATTGTGTGATCCTAAGAGGGTCAGAAGATCCAAAATATATGAATCAGTAGTTCCAAATATCAGAATATCTTTGGAACTGAACTCCTGATTAATATATTTATAGGATCTTCTGACCCTGACTAGGACAGTCTCTTTCATAAGTTAACTTTACAATGTAAAACTGTAATTATGGTACCTAATGAATGTACTTTTGGATCTTCTGATCTTTGGATCGATCTAATATTTTTGGATCTTGTGATCTAAAATATCAACTTGGATCTTCTGATTTTGGACCTTGTGAAGATGATCCGTTGCTGGTTGTATGGTGAAAAGTGTATATAGGAAACTCATCCTGGAAGGTGTTAACAGTACTTGCAAGAAATCCCCATCCTACAGGAACTATCATACTCAAATCGCAAACACCTACTTCCCGGTCTTGTAGTGAACATACTATAGCAGCATTTGTAAAAACATACCATTTTGACTTCATCGTTGGTGAACTCTCTGATGATCTTTGACTCTTTGGCTCCTTTCTGGATGTGGATCAGCTTGTTGCCATCCTGGGTGATGATACTTTTGACTTTCCTGCCGTCGGGAGTTTCTTCCTCAAACTCCTCCCCCAGACGGAACTTGATGGCCGTATTCTTGAAGGTGGAATTAGATGTGAGTGTGTACTCTCCAGAGTTCTCGGTTAACTCAATCACGGGACTCACTGTGTTTCCCATCTTGCGAGTCATGAGTCCAACGCCTGCAACAATATAGGTATTTAAGTTTAGAATGAGTAGTTTTTTTTAACAAACTACCCATATAGTTTTAGCAAATTTCCCTATATAGATAATAGCCCTATATAGATAATAGCTATTACTATAAGTCTCACGGTTAGACCTAAACCACTTTTTATTTGTGTCCAGTTTATATTTTTTATGTTTATGTGTATTGAATGTTGAAGGAATAACTCTAACTATTGACTTCTGGATGAAGGGTAAAAGAAACATCCAATAAACTGTGTATGAATTAGCTATAACCAATGTTCATTAAAATAGACCATCGAATGAGCAGCTCACAAATGTACGAAGTTGACTGCAAAACTAACGATTTAAAATGGAACTTTATATCCACAAATTATAATTATTTAATAAACTATTCAACAACCAAATTTGTCTTAAATGATGTACTGCATGATTTATACATTTTATGTACAATACTTTTCTCATTACCGGTATGCTATATTATAATAATTAAGCCTCAGACACAAGTCCTCCATTCTAACCACTAACTAGCTTTGCAGTAAACTTATATTTTATTGACTTCTTTTTTGATGCAACAGACTAGTACGACTATAAAGTTAATTCCAGAGAAATTAAAAAAGTTTTTTTTTTACATTTTCTTTGGGTTTTACCGGTAGGACATTTGTTTTGGGGTGAGAAAAATATGCCACAAACCTATTTATTGTAAATAAAAAAAAAAACATAACCTGTATTACATTTTTTACAAACTAATGTAAATATCTTGATTGTATGATCATGACTTACTTGATAAAAAAAAAAATAAACAAAGTATGATGATTAATTGTGATTTATAATTTGTGTATTTGAAGCAAAACAACTGAGATACAAATTACTTTTAGAATGTTAAGTCAACACCCGGTAGTGATGATAGTTAAAAGGTTATCAAAATATGTACGATTGGGATATTTCTGATAGATTGGCAAACTTTGGTGTCAAGGGCCAGACAATAGAGTCAGCTTCTAGTTCATCACTTCTGCTGACACCCACCTCTCTGTTCTGGCATTCTATTCTGACAAGCACAGCTCAACCCACTGCTGAAACTCAACCCACTGATGACACTCAACCCACTGCTGAAACTCAACCCACTGCTGAAACTCAACCCACTGCTGAAACTCAACCCACTGCTGAAACTCAACCCACTGATGACACTCATCCTACTGCTGAAACTCAACCCACTGATGACACTCAACCCACTGCTGAAACTCAACCCACTGCTGAAACTCAACCCACTGCCAAAACTCAACCCATTGCTAAAAATCAAATCTTTGCTGAACTCCACCCACTGTTCTGAATAATCTTTTTCTGTCTCTCAACACACTACTAAAAATTAACCCATTGCTCTCACTAAACCACCAGTTCTTTTTTTTACTTTTAGATGAATACTTTTAATATGATTGAGATGGAATGTTAATCAAGCGTCAGTTTCATTTCGTCCAACCCGCAAACAAAACCACAACCATTTTTAAACGTATTGTTATTTTTGAACAACAGACATGAAATCTGTAAAATTTATCTCCGTAAAATCTACAGTTTTAAAATCTATGTTAGTTATGGTGTTAAGTATGTTTGTGAATTTTAACTTTTTTATTGAAATCACTTTTAGATTAGATTTTTGGACATGCCCTTTACATATATTTTTAATCTGTCCCCAAAACCACATGGCCTGTTAATTGTCTTAAACTTATGTGATTTATGGACGGTTTTTTTGTGGACAACCTAGAACCTACAGTTATAAAATCAATGTAATTTTATTAGTTAAAGTATTATAGATTATTCAAAGCACTTTGCTTCAATTGTATCAATAAAAAAATAAATTCCAAGAATGGAAAAAGTTCAACTACTTTCTTTAGTCCTTTGTTTGAAGTTCATTGTTGGTGATGGTGAGTTAATGTTGTTCAAAGGTTTATTGCGGACATTTTCCATCACGAATGTAAAAAAAACAATACACAACGTTTCGGGATCTGGAATCTGATCCCGTCTTCAGGTGAAAAAACTTAACTAACACATTACAACTAACAATACACAAACGCCCAACCTAAGTTGGAATACACTACCGAGGGTAGTAGTAAAAAAATATGCACTGTATAGCAGTCAAGTCATGATACAACATGCAATTAATAACAAATCACAAAACACTATAATCTATAAAAGGTTTACGTACAAAAAACTCACACAATGGAACACTAACAACACCGTACGCTATGACTCCACCAATGAGACTGAACCAACATGGCTGACCAATCGGAAACACGGAGACAACAGAAATGGCTTCCGGTCCCTGGAAAAGTAAAACCAACAAAATGGCGGAGCGATGTACGATGCCGCAAGATGGGTGTTAATTATGTTTATTCATATCACGAGTTTTACTACGAGTTAACATAACGCGCGAATTTTGAGGAGAACTCGTTATTTCCCTATTTATTGAACAATTAAGTTCCCTATCCTTTAGTTCCTTGTTCAAAATGGGTAGCCAAAGTGGCCTTATTTCAACCGATGACTGACTGATTGGTTGGTCTGCTAATTTAATGTATGAGGCTTCAATGAGTTTACGTTTGAAAAAATGAGGTTCCTTATGGACAATTTTTGCCTCTTCAAAATTCATACGATGATTTTCGGACCAGCAATGATGAGCGATCTTAGATTTTTCCACTAAACCTTTTTTGGTGTTTTCTCTGTGTTCTTTGATTCTAATGTTCAACGGTCTTTTTGTCTCGCCATAGTAAGGCCTGGAACAATCATTGCAATTTATTCTGTAAACACAGTTTTTAGTATCCTGAGTGTCATTTTTGGGTTTTGTTTTGACGAGACTCTGCCTAAGTGTGTTTTGTGTCCTAAATGCTGTTTGCACATTAAATTTCCTAGCAACCCTTCTGATTTTTTTCCGACAGTCCTGACACATACGGGATTGACATGTGGACGAGTTTTTTCCTTGCGATTTTGTAAAGGTTCACGCGTAGCCCTATCTTTCTTGCATTTGTTTATAATGGATCGAGGGTATCCGTTACTAGCCAAATCCTGTTCTACTTTCTTAATTTCATCCTTTAACTCATCCTGATTGGAGCAAATGCTCTTAGCCCTGTCAAACAGAGAGTAAGCAACACCCTCCTTGACAGAAATTTGGTGGTTTGATTGAAAGTTTAGATACTGCCCTGTGTGTGTCTTTTTTCTATAAACAGATGTTCTAAGACTGTTCAAATGCTTTTCTACGCACACGTCCAAAAAGGGGAGTTTGTTTTGTGATTCCACCTCCATGGTTAGTTTTATGGAGGATGAAACGCTATTAAGATGCTCTAAAAACTCATTCAATTTATCATCTCCATGAGGGAAAACCACGAAAGTGTCATCGACATATCTCCACCATATCCTCGGTTTGAGCCGAGCTGAAGCCAAAGCTTTTTGCTCAAACTCCTCCATAAAGATGTTGGCAAAGATAGGTGACAATGGTGACCCCATGGCCATACCCTCATCTTGACGGTATAATTTACCCTCTAATTGGAAATAGTTACATGCCTACTTCATTTAACGCTTTCTTGAGAATGATTCTTGAGATGACTGAGATTGATTAATTAATTAAATAATTTATTATTTTCCTTTTTACCTTAGCTTAAACACATCAAAATAGAAGACTCGGAAATAAGGTTGCATGGTGATAGATTAGTGGGCCTAATATTATCAATAGTCAATATTTAATCTGATCCCATACTTATTATAATTATTGCAGAACCACCTTTCAGTATGTTCCTATTGCATTTTCTGTCTTTTTTGCTATATACAGACTGTCCCAAAAGTCCCGGACCGGTTTAATATTTTCTAAACGACAACAGATAAATCAATAAGATTTGGTACATCAACATCACACCTAAAAATATACTTTTTTATGGAAATATAAATTTTCTGTCACATCATGGGGACGTCGCGCAAGGAGTCAGAAGGAAATCTTAAATAGAAGCATAGGTTGACATGTACATCAAATTAAAGGTCTTTAATAGCAGAATATAGTGCTGCAAATTTGAAATCAAATGGACAACCAAGTCAAGAATGACAGTGGTTCAAAGATTCTTTTAATTTGCATTTGGGGGCACAGCCCTAGGAATCGGAAAAACATTTTTAACGTAAGCATAGGTCGATATGCACATCAAATTAAAGGTCTTCACTAGTAGATTACAATGCCGTAAACTCAAGCTCAAAAGAACGCCTGAGTAAAAAATGGCAGTCGTTCAAAGATTCAAAATGGCAGGTTCAAGAAATCTTTGAACGGCCACCATTTTGTAACGGGTGATCCTTTCGAGGCGCGGTTTCCGGCATTGAACTCTGCTAGCTAAGCCCTTTAAACTGATGTGCATATTGACCTATGCTCCTATTTAAGATTACCTTCTGACTCCTCGTGGGACGTCCCCATGATATGACAGAAAATTGATAGTTCCTTAAAAAAGTAGATTTTTAAGTGTGGTGTTGATGTGCAAAATCTTATTGATTTATCTGCTGTCGTTTAGAAAATATTAAACCGGTCCGGGACTTTTGGGACAGTCTGTATATATATATATATATGATCTTATGTATCTATTATTTTCTCTAAATATTTTATCAATTATTTTAAGTAAGTAAACTGAAACAGTTATACTGACTTTTTATAGCTCATATGATTCAATGTTTTAAATAGGTAGTTGCAATAGATTTGAATACAATACATATAATTAGTTTGAAATATATGGCATAGATTAAGATAAATTAAGTCCAATTGATAATTTGTAAATATCCAAGTATCGTTTTATTCTTAAAAAATTCTAAATTCACTAAATGTTCATCACATTATAAAAAATATCTCCAAAATTAGGTAAAAATATTTTATTTAATAACTTGGCCTTTTTCCAAAATGATTAGTAAATAATCATGTTATTTGCGATTTCAAAGTTAAAAGCTTTTGGAATCAATGTTTGGCTGGATATTTATGGAATATAATAATCAAAGCAATTATTGTTTGCACAGAGGATGCCTCATGTGGCAGCTCCATTTTACAAATGAACTGGACAGAGGAAATATTGGATTTAATAACATATCAATTAATAGATGTTAGGGAAATGGATTAAAAAATGAAATCACCGTTAGAATCGATGTTTACATTTACTAGGTCTCCAATACTACAGTATCAGCTTTATGAGAACTCTTAGATTGGTCTTTCACTATATTTAGTACCCTGATAATTAGACCAATTCGTTAATTACAAGGCAAACATGTGGTTCGGATTCCACTATAAACTGTAGGTTCCATGGAATACAGTTTGGTATTGCAGTTTGGAAAGAAATTGCAAAATTTTATGTTTTAGCCTGAAAATGGGAAAACCCATTTTTACCCTGTAAAACCACCCATCAACCCCTGTGCCCATAGTCTGATCACGCTGGGCGGGAAATCGTTAGCATAAAATGTAGCTTTAGAAGTTTATACCACATTTAATCAAAATCGGACCATTTTTGATCGAGTTATCGTGGTAACGGACACGTATATAAATAAATAAATATTTATACATGAATTTGAACGAATTGTGTTTTTGCCTCTGGGGACTTCAAAACGAAAAAGTAAATCGGTCCCAGGTCCAGGTCTTACAATGAGACCTAGAATAATAGCTTATTCCCTATAGGGTAAATTCGCTAAAACCTGTTTAATGATGCTTTATAGTATAATGATTTTTTTGTTGTGAAATAAGGTAGAAGAATAAGTAAGGGTAAGCTAGCCAGGTTGCATCTCATTTTATCAGGCAATTTATAATTTATCACATAAAACTCAATTACACGTGCATATAATTACACCTACACACTGCAATATTTCTGAATCGCAAGTTTTAATCCAGCTATATTGGTGCATGGTAAAACAGAAACGAAGTTAGGAGGGTATTTTAATTGCTCACCAAACAACTCCCTAAATAGAGTTAAATTGATTTTTAATTTCCAATCACGGTGAGTCAATGAAATAATTAATTCAATTTGCATCGAGGCGTCAGTATTGTCTGGGTTGATTTTAAATGTCACGTTTTCCAACTAAACCCAAATCAGATCAAATCAGTTTCCTGTGGAAACTTTGGCTTCTGGTTTTAAAAACTCGCTAGTGGAATTTGATAATATTTGTATAACTAACTTTTATATTGCTGTATATTACTGACACGGTAACTTTTATATTACGTATTTTTCTTGGTAGGTATTTTATAATTTCCTCAAGAAAATTTAGTATATTGTCATATCTTATTGTAAAGTTCCATTAAACACTTAGTGGTGGTCAGGTGGAGATGCGTAAAATTCACACGAGTCAATTCACACATAAAAACACACAGTAAAAAAATATTCTTTTACGGATTTTCTATTGCGCTATCTACATTTTTTGACTCTGTGCGGTTCCAGCAGCCGCTCCGCCGCGCGCCGGCGTCCGTCAGTCGATTTCCGATTTCATCTCACCGATATTTTTGATTGTTCGGACGCGTGAAGGACGTGTTAGAAAACAGTTTTTTTTATTTAAATAATTGTGTTTATATTTAAATTGTTGTGAGTAACAACCAAACAAGATGGACAATGAAAATGCGATAGAATATTTTGTTTGAATTTTAATAAAATAACTGTAACATCACCGTAAATAAAGTGATGGAAGACTAACTGAAACCAAATGAAATGACTGACAATTGACGGATGCAACTGAGACTGAACTGTAATTGGTCTGTGATGGAACTTTGGTGGATATTTTCATTGTAATGAGAAAAATTACTAGTGTAAATAAAAAAAATATATTTTGTATATTGTCACAAGAGAATTAAACAACGAAGTCCATAAATGCCAGCGGATCGATAGTTGTGGAGTATATAATCTATCGTAATTGTTTGTAATTGTAAGCACAGATTACGTTGTACATCATAGTACAAACGTTGTCCTTTGAATGTCGTGAAAGAGCATCATATTCAGTATGCAGGCAGTATATTTATTGGGGAGTGTATACAGTGTTTTCAATATGAACTAAATTATTCTGATACCTAAAAAATAGTTAGTTAATCTTGCATGCCAGTTTTTTTATTTTTTTATTTTTTTTAGAGGAAGTAAACCCCTTACGGCCTTAATAATCGTTCACTAGAACCCACATCAGACAGGTTAACTAAAATAATAGTTGTTATTGAATAAATCTGTTGTATTATTCGTCGAGTGTTTTCTTTACTGAGAAATATGTTGAAATCTACTTCTGTTAACCACCGACATTCATTAAACAAAGTAGCCTACCAAAATTGGCAAAGTAGCCAAAAGAATACAGAAAAACATTGGCATGGATATTTCCAAGGCATTGGGAGTAAAGTTCTTTGGGGACAATCGACTCAGTAAATAAAGAACAGGGACAAAAATCAACTCTGTTGCTAATATTTAATGTTGATGTAACAGATAAAACTTAATGTAGTGCTTTGACTGCTTAGAAATGCGATCAAAGGTTCTCTGTATAAGATGAAAATAATGCAGTAGTTCACATTAAACGACCTTCTACTCAAGATAACGTAATTTAAGGTTTGTCAGTTACTTGACACTGCGGACGCACGAAATACGGTGTACAAATAAAACCAGTCCGTTATATTTATAGAGCTACCATAAATATTCAACTTTAAATTTTGACACTGAAATTTTGGTTAGAACGTAAAATGGAAACAGCAATTTGTAAAGTATGATGTAGAAAGCGGAAAATATGATATAATTGTTATAGTTTAACCTTTTCAGAGCCAAACAGGACTTGTAGGGTTACTTGTAGCCGGAGTGTGTTCTTTCAGGGCGAAGATGTAAAGAAATAAAGTCGATTTAAGCCAACGGGACATTACAATATACCTCTATTGCAGCATACATGCAGCCTAAACGGTTTCCAAATTCCAGGTTGTATTTTCACTACAATATTCCTTGTCTAATTGTCAGATTTATTTTCAATTGAAATAACATTAATCTTGACGAATTCTTAACGATTTTGATGCTACAGTGACGGCTTTAAAATATATTTTTATTGAAATTTTAGTTGCTTAGTATGAAATAAACAAATTGACTAAATTAGTTAAACATATACATCCTTAAACCAACAAACTACAACAGTTAATTCACCAAATTCACGGAATTCATCCATAATAATAACGTGAGAGTTTTAAATTTACAATTTTTCTTAGAATTTATCCGTTATGTAAGCCACACAACAGCACTTCAATCAAAATCAAATCAAATCAAAATACTTTTATTCCAAAAATTAAACAGTACAATAATAGAACAATATATTACATGGAATTATTCCCCCGGATAAACTGTTGATCTGTGATCGGGGGAAGAGTTCTTGTAAACCATTGTCAGGCAATATACAAAGTACATTTAAAATTTGTTCGATGCTACATCTACTTCTACCTACATCTACTAGAAATTAAAAAAGACAATGACATTCATAAATTGAATATTAGAAAAGAAAGTATTGGATTATTTGTTTTTAAGCTCTACAAAATATTTTCAAATGTATTGAAAAAACGGGAAGAACCAATTTCTACCCCATAGTTCCTTATAACATGCTGGTTCGCGATTTCATTCGAATAGATGTAGGTTCACACGTTTGTACCAAATTTTATCACAATTTGGTGATTTTTTACCTAAATTATCATGCCAATGGACATATTATACAAATATGTGTTATCTATATGACTTTGAACGGATGGCGGTTTTGTCCTTTGGGGACATCCAAACGGAAAATCGGTCCGGGCCCAGGTCTTACCATGAGAAGTACGGTACCGGTAATATATTTTACCTTTTATAGAAAATTCACTAAAAAAGTAAAACCAAGATCACAACTTAGGATAAGAAGCGTGAAAATGTAAATATTTCATCCTAATCCTCTCACAGAAACCTAAAATTGTTGAATATTGAATGGAGTTACACATGATTAGCTTAGGACTACTCTTAATTTACTTTAAAATCAGCAGAAGCTAACAAAAAAATAAATCCTAACCGTAAAATGAAACATAACGAGAAAAGATTAATTCAATTTTCAAATTTTTAGACAATAGAACAGATAATGGCTACTAAGAGAAAGCTTCAATAAGATCCCATTTAGTCAAACTGATTAGACTTAACGTTAAAAGCCTTATTGTTATAATATATTGTAAAGCAACTAAATCAAAAGGTATTTGAGATCCTTTTAATATCCAGATCTGTTTTCCAACAGTTTAACGCTATCAAAGTAAAATTAGAATTGCTGAAAGCATTTTCATCGAGAAGGATCTCGTCTTACAAGAACTTGTGAATAACTGTAAGCCGATTAAATACCGTTTCGTGGAATTGTTTGTTGTAATATATATTTCCAGTGAATTAAGTGGTCAAGCTAAAATTATCTAACCTAATTATTTGAATTGATATAAGCCATAGATTATTAAATACATCGCTAACGAGCATTAGATTTTATCGAATGTTTGACCAATCTAAACCTGTCTGTAATCCTTGAGTTTTCAACATGAAACTCTCCTAGTTGAAAATTAAAAAAGACCGTAATAAAAGTGTTTAAAATTTTAAATCTTTTAGAAATCTCAAAGAAGATAGACTCACCCAAAGCCTTCATGTATTCTTCGAACTTATCGCTGGTGGCCAACTTGTACTTCCTGTTGAAGATGAGGGAAGCCATGTTCGATTAGCAACGACGAAGAGAAGCTACAGAGAAGACGGAGGGTAGTGGACTGTGTCTGGGTAGGGCTAGGGCAGGGTTCCGACTAGGGTAGGGTTCTGGGCTCAAGACTATGATAACGACTGATAACAATTGACCTTAGATCTACGACCAACCGTCAAACGTGAATCACTCTTCCCTCTTCCCAGTCTTCAACGGGGTCAACATAATAAATAACTAAAACTAAAAAAGTATTGCTGTGTTTGTTAATTTAAATTCATAAATTTATATAATTATGTATGACTATTTGGAGAGTGTTTGATATAATACAATGGGTAATCCTCTTTGACTCTTTGAATATCCTTCATGGACCATTGTGATGCCTTCCTTATTATTCATTCGAACTATTCTATAGTAAGAATAAAATTACAGAACTCCGTTGGTTTCAACAACGAAAAAAAGAAACATAATTAATTCCATCCAAACAATATTATTTCCCCCAAAAAATAATTATACTTTGCTGATTCGCACACTGCTGTAAAAATTGGATGATGCGTACAACCATATATAAAACATACTCACTTGTGTTGCTTAGTCTATGGTACAACTTTCCATAGCATAATATTGTTTTATTCGTCATGCTATTGCCCCACAAAGTTTATCAATGTGGAACTTAATACTACTCCTGCCATCGCTTATTAAGCTTAATAAAAACTATATTATGGTGTTTGTTTTATAACATTTCGTGTTTTAAGGACGAAATGTATGTTTGAATTTATTTTCCAGGATCCAAGGGGGGGCTTTAGCCCCTGTAGCCCCCTCCCCTTGGAATCACCACTGGATGTGTTGTAATTAGAAAGAGGACCTAGTGTTAGCATTTTTTGATTTTGCTAAGAAATGCCTGTACAATTTTAAACCAATATTGATTTATCATCTCCAACAATAAGTTTTAAATAATGATGGTTTTATTTCAAAATTTATTCAACGTTGTTAATTACCCTATGTTTTGTTCAAACAGATCCGTAGTTGGCAATGAAATAGGCCCTGTTTCTTTTGTGAAAAACAAAATAATCTTCATATATTTATACAGTGTATATTAATTTAGCTGTAAATATTACTTCGTAGACAAGATAACACAGGAATTCAAGTGACTGGAGTTTATTTAGTAAGAAAACTAAGCAACAAATAAATATTACTCTCATAAGCTTTTTATTGTTTACACTGTAAAACAATTTCAAACAAAAGTATTGAATCTAATTTCGTAATAGAATTTTTCACAAAGGTTAGCAAACGTTTGAACATCGAGTCAAACGAAGTGGTTTTAATTTCCGTTGATTATGATCCATTGCACTTAAAAGGGTGATTAATATTTACGAATCTATTTAGGTTTTATAATGAATGGGTATCATTATCGTGCCATGACTTTTCAAAGCTATGATTAAAATTCTTTGTTTGTTTGTGTTACTTTACTACCAAGCTATAATTTTACGTTGACAATTTAAATAGTTGCAATCCCACAAGTAACATTATTATGCTTCTCAAAGCCTAGTTTTATTTTCTCAGGTTTTTGTCAAGGAGAACAGGATGTTTCAGGCGAATGACGAGGTGTGTGTATCAAACTTGTCTGCTGATTTGACTAAAATACACATGGAAGCGTTGCAACGCGCACTTGCGCTCTTGAAACCCTACAGTAGCCCCGCGTGTTTTGGACAACGCGTGCTGCAACGAGTGTCTGGGAGGTAAGCAGCACGCGTTACGTTATGATCTGTGGAACGGGGCCATACACACGTGAGAAGTGGAATGGGCGTCTTTGAGCAAAAGACTTTGATTTTTTTATTTATTTACTGTGTATTTACTTACCTTAAGGTAATTAGGAGGTTATTTTGTTATGAAATTTAATACTGTACCTAACAATGTTCTCACAAGGTACTAAACCATCCTGGTTGTTTGCCAACACTTCGCCAAATGAAGCCATTAGTATTCTAAAACACCTTATTTAACATATTTTCTTAGATTACCCGAAGTGGTAAAAAACGGCGAGTTAAACCTTCACGTATTCCCCCAGGGCTTTTAGCGAATCCTTCGTGATTTTCTTTTGTTTTTTTCGTTGGGTACATTTTTCGTTTTGAATGGGATCGGTCGAAACCCTGGTTTTGCTAGCTATCTACAGTCTACATTTTTGTTATAATATATAGCATCATTAATTAATAGCCCAATGACAAAGGGTATGCACCCTTGTTTGACCCGCTGTCCAAAACGAGTGGATTTAGAGAAAAAGATGGAGAATAAAAACGTTAGGAAATTAATTCACGTCCCAAGACAATCGGCTTATAAAATACATTGTGTTCGATAAGACATTTTAAAGCTAGATGCCATCTCGGAAGTGGTGGTCATTTAAAAAAGGTGGAATTAATATATTTTAATGAAAGAAAAAATAGTTTAGGTTCGCCATTTAAGTACTTCTCTAAACAAATTAGTTTCTGAGATACCAATGGTATCACAGTTGTTGTTCACCTTGTATACTGCTTACTTACAAACAATGTCTTCAATTATTACATTCAAGCCTACTCTATGTTTGTACGGGTTAAAGTATATCATAAGACAACACATTTGACAGTAAACTAACCACTTGTAGTGTTACTGGCTCAAACCAATCAGCGCTGGAAGCAAAGTAATTTGAGGATATCATCACACAATCTCGCCATATACAGGATGTCCATAGAAAACGCTTCAGGACTTTGGGAAAAGAATTCTCATACTAAAAGGAAGAAAAAAGTCTATGTGAAGGTATGTCCGAAAATGCACATTTATCCAGTTATCCGCCATTTTGTTTTTTATACAAAAATATTTTTATCTGTGAAGTTTTTCATTTGGTGATTATGAAATTTGGTAACCATGTTAACATACACAATACCTATAATAGAAAAAATAATAAAGTTGTTCCGATTGTAAATTTCAAAATGTCCGATCTTTTTCGATCTTGGTATCGTTTGATAGGAAATTAAAAATGCTAAAAAAAGTATTCTTGACATTTGTTCATAGTATTAGCCGTTTTTGAGTTATTTTAAGCTAGAAAAATTCAAACGGCCGCCATTTTGAAATTAAAAATCGGAACAACTTTATTTTTTTTTCTATCATAGGTCTTTTGTATGTTAACATGGTTACAAAATTTCATAATCATCGAATGAAAAACTTCACAGATAAAAATATTTTTGTATAAAAAACAAAATGGTGGATAACTGGGTAAATATGCATTTTCGGACATACCTTCACATAGACTTTTTTCTTCCTTTTAGTATGAGGATTCATTTCCCAAAGTCCTGAAACGTTTTTATGGACACCCTGTATATGAATGTTGGGAATCTGAAATGACAACTTCAATCTAATGAAGATTTTACTTTTTATTTAAGGCTTAGGAGAAATCAGTGGTTATTTTATATGTTGAAAGGTAAATCTTTTGGGTATTTAAAAACTATAAATTTAAAACGAATATCAAATAAATAATTTATTCATTTTTGAAACTTAAAAAGAAGTAATAAAAGAGTTGTACCAACAAGGAATGATATTAAATCAAGATCCTAACTCACCTTAATGGTAAAGTGGCCGGTTTACTTGTTCGAGAAGAAAATGAATCTCCCCATAATGATAAAATTTTACCTGCCTTCGCTTTCAATTTTGTTTTAAGTCCTTTGTATATTTTGGATCTTCTCTTTCTGTAATTTGGATTTAACGCGTTTTATTATTGCATGGATAAACATATAAACAAAATAAAATATAAGTTAGTCATTGTACTACATCAAAGACTATTGGATCGCACTTTGTTTGCAAAGTGAAATACATACAATTTTCTTAAGCGTTTTTCATACCTATGTATTTTTAATTTTGCCAAACATTTGTAAAGGTTTTCATCACCGATATTATATTATAGTCTTAGTAGTTTTATATTATTATTCATTTGATGCTCACGCCATAACGAAGAAAAAATTGAAAATCTTCGATAATCTGTTGACAATGAAACGTCATAAAACGAACTTGGTACTTTTCAAAGATAGAGAAATTGATTTTCAGAAGACAAAATATGGAGAACCTTATTTTCAATACTTTGTTTTGAAACTATACAAACAGCATTTCTGGAATAGATTTGCATACAGATTTGTAATGCCAATGTGCAACGTTTTATTGAAACTTACAATTGAAGCGTAGCTTAAAATTTAATAAATAACTATCACGCTATAACATTTATGTACTATATATGTGTTGATTTCAATGTTAACTCACAAAATTAAATTAACAATATAAATGTTTAGACCCAGCTTATGGCATTATTATACGGAAAGTATATTTACACTAATACTGTTAACTCGTGAAACGGTAAAGTTATACTGTCTTGTGAATTAACAGTGTCAGTGTAATTATATATTTCAGATGTTATTATACGTATTTTTATTTACTTTCCGTAAATTTAATAACACGTATAATGCTGATCAAGAAGTTGTTTAGTACTATAATACACAACTTTTAATCTTAGTACAAATTTTTTCTTAGTACAAATAATCTTAGTAGTGTGACCGACTACATACCGTCACACTACTCTGTAACTGAGGGATGAGTATAGTTGGTAACAAATGTTTTAAGAGTGATACTATAGCTAGTATGAAAATGACTTTGGTTGTAAGTAGAACAAATAGTGTATTTTTTTCTGTGACAAAAAGCAGGACTTATTTTCTATGACCTGCTTGATGGAAAGACAGGGAAATATTTCACATTCCAACAGTTATAAAGCTCCACCGATACAAATAATACTTGTTTGATGTGGTGGTGCAGGTCGGAATCTTTATCACTAACCTTATCACCGTAGAGTTCACTGTCCTAAGGTCGTGAGATGCACATACAAACAGACATCCGTTTGACTGTACAACATTGAAGTAAAAACATTGACTATGTATACTACAAGTAGACTTCTCAGTAAAGTGCAAACCCTTTTCGATGTGTGTTTCATGTTCAATATGCCGCCATTTTGTTTCTACTAAGGTTAGGGAGTTGAAATTTTTCCAGAATATTTTTATATCCTACTTCTTAAACTGAATAAAGTTTAAAAAAGCTCG